CGTCTTACACACACTTGTCTTTCACACAATTGTCCGTTCTCACAATTGTCTATGCGCACAATTGTCTGCACACAATTGTCGTACACACAATTGTCCTACACACAATCGTCATAGACCCAATTGAAATAGATATTGAGAAGATCATTTAGTTCGAACCGCCCGTTGGAAGTGATTTTGAAGGTTGTTGAGATTGCATGTTTGCAATATTACTACAATTATGTTTTTTGCTTTTATTTCTATGAAATGCAAGGAAATATGATTTTGTGAAGAATCGAATGCTGAATCTTTTGAACAAAAAATTTCTATCAGAATCTATGAAGACTACATAGAAAAGATATTGACAAAATACAAAGTCTCGTTCTTTATGGATTACCCATTACATTTTTATTATTATGATTTCTATATTGATCTATCAAGTTTTTCAGTAGTATTCAATTTAAACACAATACAGATTGTGAATGTGTACCTAGAGTTTTTAATGAAAATCTAAGACAATGTGCTTTTGTACACTCTTTTTACAATCACGAAGTTGTTTGAAATCATGTACTAAGAGAAAAAACGAAGAGAAATCCTATTGATGTGTTTGCTAAACAATATATATATATATATGCTCTCAGGAGTCGCGAAAACGAACTGATGCTGTGAAAACACGGTTGGCTGGGATATTTTTCCATGTATACTCACTTAATCATCTTGAAAACTAAATATGATTTTATTCTGCAAAGTGTAATGTGTAGATAGGAAAGAGCAGATGTATGTTAGCAAGACCTAATGCATGTTTCATAGCTGTATATTCTAAGAACTATAGTTTCAACTTAGTTTATGCATAAAAAAATCTCCAGGTTAGATTTGTCTTGACGTATTGTTCTTGAGATATGGACCGATTTCATTCATTCATGTCCACGAGAGACTGTAGAAATTAGAGCAGAACGAAATACATGCATTTTACCAAGTTTGTTCCAGTTGATTTGAAACAAAAGTCGCTCAATGGGTACTCATATATTATAGAGACATTCATAATAGAAGATTTTGCTGTAGATTAGATATTTATGAATTCGACAGGAGTGATTTCATTCTCAAATATTTATCAAACGCATCATTTTCAAATGTCATCGTTTATGTTAATTCCACTGTATCTCTTTGCTAGCAACATCTTCAATTGAAAAACTTTCGAAATTTTCTGCATTCTGGATTGTTCTACTTGGCAACTCTGGTCTTATTACACATTGCTAGCGAATATTTTGATTTTTCTCTTCATCCGTTTACGCTGAAGATATCTTCTTTTCGCTTCTACACGGCATCTATAGTTTTGAACTCCGATTTATTCATCCAATAGAAATACGCTTCTTAGTCAATAGATCTCTTTTCTGTCATGTCTTTGCACATAAAGCATGATGATGCGCTTTTCTTGAACTGGATATGTACTTATGTTTCGAAACTCATTTATGTACAAGTAAAACCAATATGATGACACCTATTTCTTTTTCTATGTTGTCATTCTGTTATGATGACAAAGCATTTTTTTTTTCATGTATATAAATATCTCATTATCGCTTATTTTATTTTGTTCTTGATAGATCGCAAAACATGACGAACAAAGATGAAACAATACCACAAGATTTATTTTTTCGTTTATCAGGAGCTGGTGATAGTCCATGGGAAATAGGTCAAGCTCAACCAGCAATTATTAAACTTGTTGAACAAGAAACTTTTCATGGCAAAGTACTTGATATTGGTTGTGGCATTGGTGATAATGCAATTTATATTGCAAGTCATGCAACTAATGTTGATCTCACTGCTATTGATCTCGTAAATTCACAATTAATTAATTTATTTAAATAAAAATAAAATATTGCTTAGGTACCTGAAGCAATTGAAGTTGCTCGTGAAAAAGCTCAAAAAGAGAATGTTAATAATATTCAATTTGAAGTTGTTAATATGCTCGATGATCTTTCAAAAACAGCTTTAAAACAAAATTCATTTGATGTTATACTTGATTCAGCAATATTTCATATATTTTCAAATGATGATCGTCAACATTATATTAAAAATCTTGAATATTTAATTAAACCTAATGGTTTTTATATTCAATTATGTTTTAGTGAAAAAGAAATACGCGAAGGTGGACCACGTCGAATAAAAAAATCTGATTTAGAAGAATTATTTTCATCGAAAAATGGTTGGACAATTGAATCAATTGAAGATACAATCTATGAATCAAGAGTTGGCTCACCAATAGGCATAGATGGTCGAGCTTATCTCTCATTAATTCGAAAAAATACTAATAATTAAATACAAGCTTATTAATTCAAACATTTAAAATTCTGAAACTATTTTATGCAATAAACTAAACAATAGTCTATCTTAAATGATCAATTTAAGTAAAACATATCAGCGAGTTGTATGACATAGATTATTATCAATTCATAGTTTTGAAAATGAAATTTCAAAAAAAAAAGTGGTTATGTGAATAACTGATCATAGTTAAATTTATTGTAAAACACTTATACGTTGATTAACACTTCTATGATATTGTTTCAAACGTTCGCGATTATTTTAAATAGTTACATAGAATTACATTCATGTGTTGCTATTTGAATAACTGACCATTGAAATTAGTTGTATCACAAAAAAAAAAATTCTTCAGAAAGAACGTCAATGTTTATAGAGAAAGTTGAACCTTATTTAGTTTTTCTCTGATTACATCAACAATTGAAATATTCGTCATTGAAAATGGAATTATTAGTCATAACGATATTAACTACATTGATTTGATTAGGTTGTTTGTATGTATAAATGTAATATAGACGAATTCTCTAGTTGCGACTTCGCTTTTTTTTGCATTTATGAATAATATATATTTTACAAGCATGTAAGATGCTATCTAAATGTAAAAAATCTAATAAAGATATTTAAAAAAAACGAATCAATACTAAAATTCAATATTCGAGAATAAGAATATTATACAAATAGCAGCATTTTTTCTTATTTCATTTTCAAATAATTCTTATTAATAACCATATCTCAATACAAAAATGACGAACTTTATTGTATTCGAGTTATGTTTAATTTTCCTAAATAGCATTAGCATGCCATAAATTGAACTATAGAAAAATGAATTTTACTTGCTAACTTTTCAACTGAATTTATTCAACTAATTCATATCAATGTTTGCCTCACTCAATGTCTTTTGAAATATGTCTTAAAATTTATTAATATTTACATTTTCTCAATAACAATAAACTTCTAATTTATCTGTTGATATACACTTACAAGATTCCAGTTAATATAGAACGTTGTTATTAAATTTATTGTTTAGTACTTCGAATGAGGAATTCTACTATCAATAAGATGTTTTTCTTATAGCACATGGAGATACTATGTTTGAAAATTTTATTTAATTCTTTAAATTTTTTTTTTTGAAAGAAATATAATAAATTTGTTTTCTAGTTATTTAAAACAAGCCATTATTTTAACGTCATCAGCATTACAGTGGCACGACTACTTATGACAAGATATTTTTCAATAACGATTCAACTGATTTTGTTACATAATATTGATATAATGAGCGTAGAAAAAAATCTTTTAACACGATGAACAATTTTAGTTTTTTGAGAAATTGATGTTGTCATACTTGTCAATTACTTTTGGGTAAATGAATTTGTTCTCTCGAATAAATAATGTTATAACTATTTCTTATCAATTTCAAAAAATGCATAATTATGTTATTGCATCTTTTTTGATATTGAGATAATATTTTGGGTGCATATATGCGATAGCAAACCTTGATGGAAAGCACTGACCCATCCTCCATTGATTCATATGTATCGAAGTTATCATTCAAACATTATCATCTTCCTCTTGTGAAAGATATACTCAATGGAAATATGCAGACAAAAAGTTTTCGCTTCTCATATTGATATTCTACAAGCTATCACTTTTTTTCTACCACTAAAAGCAATTTCATATACTTTATTATCGCCAAAAGCTGTAGCACATAGGCATGAGTCAAGTAATTAGCATATCATGAAATAGTGAATCGATAGCGTTTACTCTTCAACAGACATTTCTAATGAGAAGAAAATATCTCAATCATTTCAAAATTGATTTCTAATAAAATTCCGACTATAAGTAGCTGTCACATTGGGGTTCTAAATGAGAAGTTAAAAGAAAACATTTTTGTGTTAACATATCCGACACTAGGTGATCATTCGAAGAAGATCACGCGCGCATCATAACTCAAGTACACGTGAAGACACAAGTCAGGTCGATATTTTCGATCAAGGATTATGGTTACACATATGTATCTAAAATGTCAGCTGACTATCATACAGTATAGTAGTATTTCAGGGGGGAGACAGCTACTTTTGTTCAGAACTGCATATTTCTCAATCAGAAAAATCACGTTTAATGTTGACACGAAAAATCAACTTTAAGATCGATATATTAAAAGAAGATGTTCTGTAAATGACACTACTTAAAGCTACTTTTATAAGAAATCACTATGAAAAAAAGAACAGCGATACTTAAAAATCTTTAGAAAAACAGAAAAACTATTCAATTCATTATATAATCGTAGATTTTCTTTTAAATATAATCCATACAAAACCAAAATATCTTAATTCATTTGTTCGATTAGAATTTTGAACCAAAAGAAATTCTTCGTAAAGAAACAAATTAATCTATTATGATAATGATTAGTGAAACAAAATTAATAGTAATACAATAGAAGTAATCAAGGAAAATATTTTAAGAAAATTACTTAATGTTCATAAATTGATT